CGAATTTCCAAAACGTCCTACATACCCCAATCCTACACTCCTACAGTAATTTCAATTCCAAATTTCCGGATTCCACCCCTATCGGTGCGCCCAAATCCAAATTGTACCAAAGTTAGAACATATTTTTACACATAAGTACACATTTCCAAACCAACCTTCATATCTCAATCCTTTACTACGGCAGTAATCTTATTTCCAAATTTCAAGATACCAACTACTCAGGATACCAGTCCACTCAAATACAAATTATACCAAACATGGAACCATTTAGTACACATAAGTACAAATTTTCATAACTACCTATACCCATGGTACAATAAAAAGGTAAGGTAGAGCTACCAGCTGATTACAATTTTTTTCTAAATGTGCCCGACTTCTGCCAATTTTGTGTATGTATTTAGTTTTTGAAAAACAAAAACAAAATATTTTAAAAATCAATGATTGGAAGAAACGAAGATTGTAGGGTGCACATTAAAGATAATCACCATTTTTATCATGGAATTGAAAGATGGATCAAGTTGGATAATATTTTTGAAAGAAAATCCGGCCTTGTGTTTCGTTGAATCTAATTTTGAATAATTCTGACAGAAAGCGGGCATTGTCTCAGGGGTGTATTTCTGTACTTTTACGAAGCTGTTCTACCTCCTTGTTGTACCATGCCTATACCTATATCATACAATTCAATGGAAATCTGATTTCCCATTTTTGTATTCCACCTAAATCCAAATTGTATCAAATTAGTTAAAATGTAGTACACAGAGGTACGAATTTCCAAACAATACCAACATACCCCAATCCTACACATTTCCATAACTACCTATATCATACAATTCAATGAAAATCTTTCTCTAATCTCTATTTCCAAACTTTAGGATTCCGACACTATCGGTTCTCCCAAATTTAAAATTGTGCACATTTAATACCATTTCGTACACATAAGTACGAATTTCCAGAACGTCCTATATATCCCAAATCCTACAATGCAATATTAATCTTATTTCCAAATGTCAGCATTGCAGCTCTATCGGTTCACCCAATCCAAGTTGTACAAATTTAGTACCATTCAGTACACATAAGTACAAATTTATAAAACTTCTTACATACCCCAACCCTACACCCACACAATAATCTTGATTCCAAATTTCAGGATTCCAACACTGTCGGTTCTTTTTAAATTTAAATTCTACAACATTTAGCACAATTTAGTACACAAAAGTTCGAATTTATAAAACTTCCTACATACCCCAATCCTACACTCCCACAGTATCCTTAATTCCAAAATTAGGGATTACAGCACTTTCAGTTCACCAAAATCAAATTTTCAAGAGAACTATAATGTTGAAATTTTAGAATTCCTAGTCTATCGGTTCTCCCAAATTTTAAATTGTATCAAATTTAGTGCTATTTAGTACACATTAGTACGAATTTCCAAAACGTGCAAAATACATTTCCAATTTTTTGCATTCCAGCTCTATCGGTTCACCTGAATCCAAATTGTACCAATTTAGTACCATTTAGTACACATAAGTACGAATTTATAAAACTTCCTACATACCCCAATCCTACAATGCAATAGTAATATTATTTCCAACTTTTCGTGAATATAAGTAAAAATGTTCGAAATCTATCTCCATATCCCGATCCTACACTCCGTCAGTAATGTTAATTTCAAATTTTAGGATTCCATTTCCATCTGCCCCTCTAAATTTGAATTGTACCAAATTTAGTACCGTTTAGTGTTTTTCTATACATGAGTGTAAACTTCCAAAACTACCTCCTTACACCGACCTTATATACCGACCGATATAGTACATTTTAGTACTATTCGTGCTCTTATAGTGCGAATTTCCAAAAATCCTTTGGAACATCCATCATACACTTCATCAGTGAGTCAGAATTTTCCTCGTTTAGTAGTTTTAATATGGGTACATTATTCGATATAGCGATTTTCAGTATTTTTAAGTTTTCCGTTTCGGGACATTTGGAGTCGATCTAGAGGTGCCTGTCCGTCTGGGAGAATTCGATTTGATTTCAATTTTGGTACACCGTAGATAGAATTCGGAGATGGCCAATCATTCCTCCTTCTGGTACCTCCCCCAGAAATGGTCTAAATTTTTCCAGAAAATAATTTTTCTTATTGAACGGATCATCCAATTTTGTGCACATTTTGAAAATCACAAAATTTTTGTCAGTGCCATGTCAGGTGCGAAAATTGACAATATCAACCCACTCCATCAAGAACCTCCCAGGCAAAGGGTCAACATTTTGAATAATTATTACTCTTATAAAATACGAAACTAAAATCATAATCTCTTCAAATTTCACACATCCCAATATTTCTATCAACAAACAATAAGGTGTGAAGATGGAATTTATTGGTCCACAACTTCCACAAAGGGGTCAAAATTTTGAATAAATATATCTCTTATAATTTGCGCAAATTACCATCCCAATATTTCTATCAACAAATAATCAAGTGTGAAAATGGGATATATTGTTCCACTCCTTCTGGTACTTCCAAACAAAGGATCAAAATTTTGAATAACTTTAAAGCTCATAAAACGCGAAATTAGTCACCGATTATTTTAAAACTTGGCAAACCTCAATATTTCTGCTAACACAAGACCTGGTGTGAAGATGGGATGTATCGGTCAACTCCTTCTGGATCCTCCCCCATAAAGGGTCAAAATTTTGAATATATGAAGTTTATAAAACGCGAAATTAACATCCGATTCCATTCAGACTTGGCACATCTCAATATTTCCATCAACGAAAGATCTGTTATCAAGATGGTAGAGATTGGACCATTTCTTTTGGTACCTCTTCCACAAAGGGTCAAAATTTTGAATAACCAAAACGATCATAAAAAATACGAAATAAGCATCCGGTTCTCTTTAAATTACACACATCACAATATTTTTATAAGCCCAAGGTTTGGTGTGAAATTAGAATATATCGGTACAGTCCTTCTGGTACCTCCCCCACAAAGGATGAAAATTTTGAGTATTTTGCGTCCGATTCCATTCACACTTGGTGCATCTCAATATTTCTATCAACGTAAGAACTCTTATAAAGATGGTAGAGATCGGACCTTTTTTTCTGGTACCTCCCCCGGGGTTCAAGATTTTAAAAAACAAAACGCTCAAAAAAAACGAAATAAGCATCCAATTCTCCTCAAATTTCACACATGCAAACATTTTTGCTAATACAAGATCTATTGTGAAGATGATATATATCTGCGAACCCCTTCTGGTACCTCACCCATAAAATGTCACTATTTCCAATTCTTATATCTGTCATAACTTGCGAAACAAGTCGGTCATTCCTTATATCTTACTATATCTCAATATTTCTCTTAACCAGAAATCTGATATGAATATGTGATTTATCGGAATTTATGATTTCGCATAAAATTGGATATAAATGTTCGATTTCCTTCAAATTTTGCACATAGCAATATTTTTATCTGTATTAGATAAAGTACAATAAGTTAAAAAGCCTTCCACCATTTAAAATGAATTTAGAAATTTTCAAAAATAAAATCCATAAAAAATTCTGTTAAAATCTTAAAAATACGGAATATAGCCGTTATATTGGGGTCTATACGGCGTGGACCTACATAGGCACTGTTTGTCATAAGCCATTACCATTCCAAATTTGAAACTTGAAATAAACGGTGAATAATGTAGCTAAAATCACCGTATATAGGGAGGTACCGTTATATCAGAGTTTTTCGAAAACCTGGATCTGCATAGACAATTTTCTGTCACACGCTGTAGAATCCATTATGAACTTTAAATACGACATCTCAAAAAATGTCGGTGGGTATTGTACCTAAAATCGTCAAAATACTGAATATAGGGAGGTACTGATATATGGGGCCTACACGAAGACCTGGACCTACAAAGACAATTTTCTGTCACAGACTGTAGTATCCATTACGAACTTCAAATACCAAATTTGAAACAATCCCGGTTAATAATCTCGCTAAACTCATCAAAATGCCGAATATAGGGAGGTACCGTTATATGGGGGCTATACGAAGACGGGGACCTGCACAGACAATTTTCTTTCTTAGGTTGTAGTATCTATTTCGAACTTCAAATGTTAAATTTGAAACAATTTCGTTGAATAATGGCTAAGATCATCAAAATACCGAATATCGGGAGGTACCGTTATATCGGGGCTATATGAACCATTTACGAACTTAACCTGCCCACTGGCAAAATAAACATGTGTGCAAAATTTTAGCCTTATATCTCAATTCGTTCGAAACAGACAGACAGGCAGACGGACATCGCTAAATCGACTAAGAATTTTACGCTGATCAAGAGTATATATACTCTGTTGGGTCTGACTTTAGTATTTCGAGGAGTTACAAACGGAATGAAAAGGTTAATATACCCTCCATAGTATGGTGGAGGGTATAAAAATGGAATACTTCGGTCCACTATACCTTTTACCGAACGCATATTTACACATTTTTCAAAAATTTTCACATATCTCATACAAAGGAAGTATCCGATATAGTCTAAATCTGACACGTTGTAATATTTTTATCAGTGTCAGGTCAGATACGAATTGGTAAATATTGGCCAACTGCTTCGGAACCTTCCCCAGCGTCAAAAGTTTGAATTATCATAACTCAAGGCTGGGGGTATACATCTGTCGGCAAAACCGACTGATACTATTTTACTTGTTTAAATGAAGCTCCACTGGTAAGCCATGTTTAAACAGGCCATATTTTTTCTGATCACTCCCAAATTTAATGCAATTTTACGTACATTGTCTTAAAATATGCAATTCTTCCTCACAATGTTGCAGCTACGGTTTACACATATACATACAAACCAACAATGTAAATAATAAATAATGCATATTTCCATTGTGTGCGTTTTTTTTAATCCTGTTTCCTTACCTTTTTCGATATTATTGACATTTAATCCGTTTTAATTTCATTTGTGTTTTTTTTTTCTTTTATTTTTGGCATTTAATTACAGGGTCTTTTATGGGCTTTAGACGTGGGCATTGTCAATACCTTGGAACAGCCCATACGACGTTGCAGTCCGAAAATTGTTGCCATTAATACGGCCGATGGCAAGGTGGTAAAGAGTATCGACATGAGTGACTTGGTTACAGCTGAATCACGTTTGCAATTCCTGGTCGTTGACTATGGCAATGACAATAAACCGTTTGTGTGAGTATTGGAGAGAGAGAGAGAAAATTTAAAGTAAAGTATTTTCAGAAATCGACAAGTCGATAAGTAAATGTAATATATGTGTGTGTGTTGTTGAATATTTATTATTGTGTAGTTGCAGCAGATAGTAGGGATGGTCTTTAAAGGGCTGTGACCTGGAACATGATAATCTACCCTTTGGAAAATTACTTTCTTGAAAAAAGCTCTATTTGCTGGCATTTAATTTCCTTTTCGTTTGAGCAGCCCTTGAATGCTTAAAACAAACTGCATTGCATGTATCGAGATCTTATAGTTGGCGTACTTGTTCCCTTTGTGTCGCCGTTACTTATTACTTGGTAATGAGCAATGTTTGTTATTTTGCTTTATAATTGATTTAGGATTAACCCATTATTTTTAACTAAGTGACAATACAGAGGGTATGTCATTATTTTTTTGGGATATTGGTAATGTAAAGGATATGCAGTTGGCATTACCAGAAATGCTGAAAGTGGCACATATGACTACCAAATTCCCGTTGGATATTTGTCGAGTTGCCAAATAATAATTATTTATTTCGAGTAAAATGTTCTTTAAAAATAATGGGCACGTAGGTGAATTTGTATTTCAAAAACTTGATTAGGTAATTCATTATTTGGTAATGAAATCGAATTTGAACTTTCCCGGAGGTTTACAGTCTCTTAGATCAAGTTCGGAGATCAGTCAATTCCTGCTCGTACCTTACCCACAAAGATTCAACATTTTTAATTGCACTGTTCAATGCAAGACCAGTAAAGAAAGGCCAAAAGTCGGGCGGTGATACCCTACACCACTATGGTTATGTACAAAACATATATATATGAGAGCCTTACCTATATCTGAACCGATTTAATTAAAATTTCAATAGATATTGCAGCTAAATTAGGTCAGGCCGAACTTTTAATACCCTCGCCATTTGGAAGAACGTTGCAAAATGTAAAAACATTCATTTGAAATATACGGCTATAATTTTAAAAATTTCAATTATCTGCCAAAGAAGGTGTTGCCGTTTGCGAACTCAAAAACATCGAGTTTGAGATAAATCTATTAAAAACTGTAGCTAAAATCACCAAAATACCATATATTGGGAGTTACCGTCATATGGGGGCTATACAAAGACGGAAATTTGTGTAAGCAATTCTCTCTCATAGAAAGCAGCACCACTGTCAATTCCGAATTTTAATTACATCTTATAAAAAAGTGAGGCAAACATCGTCAAAATACCGCATGTACGGAGGTACAGTTATATGGAAGCTAAACGAAGTTGGGCAACTCTATAGGCAATTTTCTGTCATAGGAAACAATTCCAGTAACAAGTGTGACAGAATCATCAAAACACAGAATATCTGGAGATACAGTTATCTGAAGCCTACACGAAAAGGTTGACTTATCTATAACACAAAATACCAAATTTTAGATAATTCTATTAAAAAATGTAGCTGAAATCCTTTAAATAAAAAAATTAAAAACACGCAAAATTTACAAATACAGGGTGAGATAAAAAAAACTGCAAGAAGGTCAAACGCCATAATTTTTACATTTTTTTTAATTTTATTGAATGAAAGTAAAAAATGTCGGAAATAGCATCAAATTTTAGAATAAGTTTCGATTTGTTCGAATTTGTCACCTTTGGCACGAATTATGGCCTTCAAAGGGCCATTGAAACCATCACACGCTGCACAAATACTCTTCGGTATTTTGGCCCATTCCCGGCGAAGGGCTTGCTTGAGGTGACCGACACTTTGGTATTTTTAAGTGCCTACCTTCCATTCCAAACTACTCCGGACACAATAGTCCAACGGATTGGCATCCGGAGATTTTTGTGACCATTGCGCTCTGGAAATGAAGCGAGGAACCTCATATTGCTTTAATACACCCTCCAGAATATTTTGGCGATGGTACGAGACACGAAAAATTTATTCACATTTAAATGCTGGAGTGCTCTAACGACAGCCACTAGTGGTTTTCCAGCCAAATACAAAGAAATCACACTATCACGCTTGAATTCCATCACGAATAACTTTTTTCTGGAAAATTTTCACCAAAATGTCTTTGTACGCTTGTAAATAATATAATGAGCTTTCAGTGGAATAATTTTGACAGCTGTCAGACGAGTGACAGCAGTCTGAAGTTAGTTGAAGTTTTTTCATCTCACCCTGTAAAAGCTTATATAACTGTTCAAAGCCAACTCACATTTTAAAACAAATGTTCCGTGGCACCTTAAACAATTTCAATTTATCAATGCGAAAATAAATCTCCTGCTTTTTTCAGCAAAAAAATGCAATTCATATTTTTATTTCTCTCCAATGAAATTCTTTTGTTTTACTGCCTTTTTTCTGCGACCTTGGACCTTAAATAGCCGTAGAAATAAAAAAAACTTGTTGAACTTTAACGAAATAAATCTAGAGAGGAATGTCGATAAAGATATGTACGTGAAGAAATTAAAAGAAGCCATGGGAATGTCGAACAAAATACTCAGAAGAAAAAAATCGAACAAATAAAAAAGAAAAGAGAAGAGAAGACAAAAAACCTACTCAATGCTGTGTCTGCGGGTATGACAAATTGTCAATTTGTTTGTCGACCATTCTGTCGGTCATATATCAACATTAATAACATGGAATGCCATTTAATTCCCCGAACAATCTGCCAATAAAATAAGGGAGGAGGTGGTCTGTAAAACTTGATGTTTTTTTGCTTTTGCCTTTACTGTCGATAGGTAGATAGACAAAGAAAAAACCTCAATTATTTTCTGGCCACAAAAAAAAAACACAAACACACACCAACACAAATAAAATTTATTACATTTTAAGATTTGATCGGAAAATTCGAAATATTAAATTAATTAAATGCATAATCGAAAAGGAAATCAGTTTTGTGGTTTAAAATAGGGTTAAATCTCCTTTGGAATACTTTAAACAGAAACTGAAACTACCTTTTACATTAGCAGTAGATAGAGTACCCCATTTATAAATATTACAAAGAAAATAACTTATAACTCAAGGTGAGGGTACATAAGCAGCTTGGCATCATAACTAGGCATATTAATGTCAAATTATAAGGGGACACGACATCAGGATTCGAGTACGGCTCTGAAATCCCTTTATGATATGTCGCAATATTTACCATGCGAAGATTTCAAGCCGCTTATGTTCCTGCGCCTTTATTCTTCTCATTGCCCAGTAATGTGTAACGTCGGAAGATATGTCCCTGTAAAATATGTGGTACTAGCTCGATTCAAGTTTCTTAAGAGTTATAACTATTGTATTCAAAAATCTAATAAGGAAACGTCGAAAGTCGGGCGGTGCACACTAAATGTTACCCTACACCACTATGCGTATTTAGTAGAGCTCCTGTAACAATAAAAGTTTTTATTGGGAATTTATGTGAAGTAGATCGTACCAACTATGAACCATATCATCATGGCTTTAAAGTAGTCACAATTTGGAAACTATATCCAACTCTGAATCGATTTTCAACAAATTTGACGGAGGCTTTTACACCTCTAGTACCAAATAATATTGCTGTATGGTGCATGATATGACTTCGATAAGAATTATATTAAAATATATTTATTGAAGCAATAGATAAACCGGACCGAGTTTCACCAAATGGAAAAAATCGGTTGAATACGAAACAAGTAAAAAAGATGTAAGTTCGGACGGGCCGAACTTTGAATACTCTCCACCATTTGGTACAAATTTGGCAATTTCCAAAAATAAAAATAAATCCGTTAAAAATTCTGTTAAAATCTTAAAAATACCGAATGTAGCTATTATATTAGGGTCTATACGACGAGGGTCTATGGACCTGCATAGGTAACTTTTGTCGTAAGCCATTACAATATTCAAATGAGAAAATAGAAAAAAATCGGTGAATAACGGAGCTAAAATCATCAATATAGGGAGGTACCATTATTTAGGGGGCTATACCAAAATGTACACCGACACAGACAGGCTGCAGTATCCATTACGAACTTCAAAAACCAAATTTGAAACAATTCCGGTGAATAATGTCGCTAAAATCAACAAAGTGCCGAACATCGGTAGGTACCGTTATATAGGGGCTATACGAAGACGTGGACCTGCGCAGACAATTTTCGGTCATAGGCTGTAGTATTCATTACGAACTTCAAATACGAAATTTGAAACAATTCCGGTAAATAATGTCGCTAATATCATCAAAATACCGAATATCGGGAGGTACCGGTATATGGGGGCTATACGAAGACGTGGACCTGCACAAACAATATTCTTTCTTAGGCTTCAAGGCTTCGAACTTCAAATACCAAGTTTGAAACAATTCCGGTGAATAATGTCGCTAAAATCAACAAAGTACCGAATATCGGGAGGTACTGTTATATGGAGGCTATACGAAAACGTGGACCTACACAGACAATTTTCGGTCACAAGCTGTAGTATTCATTACGAACTTAAAGTACCAAATTTGAAACAATTCCGGTAAACAATGTCGTTAAAATCATCAAAATACCGAATATCGGGAGGTACCGTTATATGGGGGATATACGAAGACGCGGATCTACATGACCCATTTTTAATAACAAAAGTCCTGCAGAGTTTTTATTTTTTTATAATTTTATCAATCTACTTCATTTCGTTCCGAAGCTAGAGTGATTTCCACAGACGGACAGACGGACGAATATCGCTAAATCGAATGACAAACTTAATATACCCTCCATACTATGGTGGAGGGTATAAAAATCTATCCAATTTAGGTTGATATTTCATTCATGGTGAACAATAACGGTAAAATCAGCTGAAGATTTATATCGAAGCTATATAATAATCTCAACCGATGTCAATAAAATCTGTCGATATATAGGATTGAGATATGGAGATGGCATTAAATGGCACGGAAAGTACTAAATAGTTCTATATTTGGTACAATTTGGTATTGAGTGGTATGCTTGAAATCTGAAATTTAGTATTAGGGTCGCTGTTCATGTGTAGCCTGGACATATGGAGGGGGTTTCGGAAATGTGTACTATATTTTTTAAAAAAGTACTAAATTGGGTATTGGCTTCACGGATAGGGCTGGAATCCCAAAATTTGATATTGAGGTCTCTGTTGGTATCTGGTATTGCGATATAGAAATGGTTTTGGAAATGTGTACTACATGTGCACGTAAAGTACTAAATAGTACTTTATTTGGTACAATTCGGTATTGGGTGAACAGATAGTGCTTGAAATCTGAAGTTTTGAATTAGGATCTCTGTTCATGTGTAGCCTGGACATCTGGAGGTGGTTTGGGAAATGTGTACTGTAATTGTACGAAAAGTACTGAATGGTACTGTTTTTCATATTGGGTGTAGGCATATAACTGGAATCCACAAAATTTGGTATTGAGGTCTCCGTTGGTATCTGGGATTGAGATATGGAGGGGGGTTTTTGGAAATATTGTACGAAAAGTAAGTAATTGTACGAAAAGTACTAAATAGCAATTAGTTTGGTATTGAGTGAACGAATAGAGTTGAAATCCTGAAATTTGATATAGATGTCATTGTAAGTGTCTGTGGTTAACATATGGAGGTGATTTCGGAAATGCGTACAAAATTGTTAGGAAAGTACTAAGTGGTACCAAATTGGGTATTGGGTAAAGAAATAGAGCTAAAATCATAAATATTTATTTGATACAGTTGGTGTCTGTGGTTGAGAGAAGGAGCTTGTTTTGTAGATGGCACAAAATGTCCCATTGGCTGACAATTTACGGAAAATTCGTTGTAATATTATGACTTGAACGCCTGAACTCTGCCGGTACACATACCAAAATCCCAAAACGTTATATAATGGAATATATGACCCATTTTGAATTTCAAAAATTTTACGGATCTAAAATACATTTCATTGAAATTTTGTCCAGGCTGCGGTGATTTCCGCTGACGGACGGAAATGACTAAATCGACTTAGAACTTTGCGATGATCAAGAATATATATAAATATTTTGTGGGGTCTAAAATGCTTATTTCGAGAAGTTACAAACGAATTGACAAACCTAATATACACTCCATAGTGTGATGGAGGGTAAAATATCCTGTTATTTTAAAACCGGATTTTCTAGGTATTTTGAATTTTTTTCTTACAATCTATAGGCGCAATTAGCTAATGACTTGAGTAGAATTAAAGAGGGCGTGATATTACATCGATTGCTTGATTATGCTCTGTCTAGCTCCTAGCTTGATAGGAGTCCAAAGTCGACCATTTTTCCTTGAAAGGAAATCTGTTGTGTTTTTTTATTCCTCTTTCCACTAAAATTCCATTTCGAATCAAATTCAAAGATAATTGTTGTTATTGTAATTTTGATTAACCCACTCATTGCCCTCAAATCGACACTTGTCCCGCTGAAGGGCTTAACTAATTATCGTTTCACATTCATAATTCTCTATCTGTTTGCTTGCAGCTATGTCGCCGATGCTGGTGCCCGCAGTATTTTGGTCTATGACATAACTGGTGCCAAATCGTATCGCATTGTCTTGCCCAAAGCCACATGCCCCACTAACGACGTACTTTACATTGCGCTGGCTGCCCAGGCTGATGGCACATCGACACTCTTCTTTACCTATCTCAGCTCATCGCGTCTATACTCCATTAAGGGAGAATATTTGCGCGTTGGTCAGGGTGCGGGTTCCATTGTGGACGTTGGTGCTAAGCCGTATGGAAAGCAAATGGTATTGTTGGGCGCAGATGGTGGCAATTCGTTGTTCTTCCGCTACAAAGGAGAAAATGACATCTACATGTGGGATTCGGAGACATGCTTTAAGCCGGCAAATCTTCAGGAAGTCCAGCGAGGTGGTGATTGTCGTCTATCAACACAGGTATGTGAAATGAATGTGTGAGTATGGATGTATTAGGGCGTAACCTTGGAAGAGATTTAAAAACCCCAAATGGCATTGTCACCTAAATCTTCATTGGAGGTTTTGCCTTCGGTACAAATATTTTCATATGGTACCATCCTATTCAGGTCATTTATTATCCGAGAATATTCTGGTGCCATATCCACAACATGTCCATCCGTATATACACTCATATGTAGATGCTCAACCAATTTGTTGATGTTGAAAAGGAAAATTACCTTTAGCAGCATTAGTTCCGCATATCCTTGTCTCTCTAACTGTTCTATTTCTCTTCAATTACAGGTCCTGCCTGGCCATAAACGTTTCATGTGGGCTTTGGAAAGTAATTTCCATGATTTTATATCTGAACGTACTGGCTGTAATGGGGCTTCAATTATTCTGCATCCGGTGGTGCGCGAATGCGATGATTAAATGCCATTCGGTCGCAGCTTCTATTAAAGACTATATGGATAATTTATTGCACACACACACACAGACACACATTCACACGGGAAGCAATATATCAGCACAAACAGAAACTTTGCAACACAAACACATTTGCATATGTGTGTGTTCTGTATGTGGTGATGTGTATGGTATTGCATAGTTTCATCTTGCATTACATTCGATTTAAGCCAATTAATGTTAAACAATATATAGCATACTTTAAGGAGTTAAATAAAATTTAAATAAACCTAATCTATTTTAAGCAGTAAATTTAATGCGGTGTTTCATTGATATATTGAAGTGAAGAAAAATATACAATATTTCTAAAGGCATTAAAAATTAAATCTTTTAATACGCTTGAGAAAGCCAAACCATTATTAGCATTATACAATAAAAAGGTAAGGTAGAGCTATCAATTGATTACAATTTTTACTAAGTGTACCCGACTTCTGCCATTTTTATACCCTCAGCCAAATGGCTAGAGAGGGTATACATCATCTGATACGGTCAAAACGTGCCTCATCGAAATAACGGTTTTAGACCCTAGATCTCTTTGGACCAAATCCGTTTCAGGACGATTATCGATCCACGCCTTCTAGTACATCCCCACAAAAGGTCGGCCTTTAAAAAAAAAAAATATTTTAGTGCACAGAAAGAAAAAGGATAATCCGATCCGATTGCAGAAAACTCCAACTTTGCAAATTCTAATATTTAAATTAGTGCGACGTCAGGTGCGAAAATGGACTATATCGGTCCCCTCCATTAAGTAGCTCTCCTTCAAAGGGTCAACAGTTTTAATAATTATAACTATTATAAAATGTGATGTTAGAGTCCTATTGTCTTCGAATTACACACGTCACAATATTTTTATTAAGCCAAGGTGTGATGAAGTCAACAATTCTTTAGAACTTGCTATATCTAAATATTTCCCTCAACAAAAAACCTGAGAGAATATGAAATTTATGATTTTGCATGTTCGATTTTCATGTAATTTTGCCCATACCAATATTCATACCCTACACCACATTGTGGTAAGGGTATTACGTCTTTGTGCATTTGTTTATAACAGGGAGAAGGAAGCGAGAAAGACCCATAGTTACTTTTGAGTATCTTCATAGAATCACTTTCTGAGTCTATTTATGCATGTCAGTCCGTCCATGTATTCTTGTGAACAAAATGCAGGTCGCATTTATTATCTGATTGAGATCAAATTTTCCTTACAATATTTGTTTGGCCCAAGGACGTGATTTGGTGATAATGGGATCAGATTTAGATATAGCTTCCATATATTTTCAACCGATTGTTGTGTACCAAATGGCCAATATAAGTCCTAAAAATCTGAATTTTTGCACATCCGACCGAATTCAGTCTAGAAGCAAGTGCATCAAATTTGGTGAAAATCGTTTCAGATATAGCTATAGCTCTCATATATATGTTTCATCCGCATTCCACAACAATGATTTTTGGTACCAGATATCAGATACAACCCAGAAATACCTTTGCCAAATTTTATCAGGATCGGTTCATATACGTGTACTTAACCGATATCAGGTTTATGGTACACCAAATGGCTAATATCATCTCAAATGGACTGAATTTTGGCAATTACGACTGAATCCATCCTAGAAACCAGTACTTCAAATTTGGAGAAAATCGGTTCTGATATAGGTATAGCTCCCATATATATGTTTTATCCGATTTGGGGCTTAGTCCCTAACATTCGTAATATGAATTCGAAAACAATGATATTTGGTACCAGATATCTCATAGAGCTCAGAAATACCTTTGCCAAAATTTATCGAAAACGGTTAAGATTTGGATAGAGCTCCCATACATATCCTTCGTAGTAAATTTCGGGACGTACGTTTCCATTTTATAGAACTCGGTGTGGAGGGTATATTAAGTTTGTCGTTCCGTTTGTAACACATCGAAATATACATTTTAGACCCCACAAAGTATATATATTCTTGATCAGCATAAAATTCTATGTCGATTTAGCGATGTCCGTTCGTCTGTGGAAATCACTCTAACTTTCAAACGAATTGAAGTAGGTTAATAAAATTTTACTCAAATGTGCGTTAGGTCTGCAAGACTTTTAGTATGCAGTAGAGACTTTCGAAAGGGGGTGGATCTCCAGAGTCTCCATTTTTTATAAACTTGTGATAGAAAAATTATTTTTTGGACAGTTGGGTCCTCAACCGCCACTCAATTGTTTCAAAATGCATTCTTTTGTACATTCCTGTAATTCAGAGTAACTTAGAAGAAACTGGGGAATAATTTCGCGTTTTATAAGACTTACTAGCAATTGCCCACTCAAACGAAATAATTTTTAATACGCATATCCAGAGCAATCTACATCCCTCCACCCTTGACACCAACAGCGACCCTTGACACCAACAGCATTTCCAAACCCACTTCTATATCTTAACCACAGGGACCTCAGCATTAAATCTAAGGATTCCAGCCCGATCAATCGAGTACCACTAAGTACTTTTCGAAACAACTATAGTACACATTTCCAAATCCACCTCCATATCTTAACCGCATACACCAACAGTGACATCTATATCAAATTCCAGGATTTCGGCTAAATTACTTCACCTAATATCAAATGTAGAAGTTTTTAGTACTTTTTACTATTTTTCTTACAATTATAGTACACATTTTTCAATTCCAGATATCGACAGAGGCCTTAATATAAAATTTAGGAAGACCAGATCTATCCCTTCACTCAATACCAAATTGAGTACCACTTAGTACTTTTCATACAAATTTCAGACACATTTCCCAAAACACATTCATATTTCTAGGCTACACATGAACAGCGACGGTAATGCCAAATTTCCGATTTCAAGCACTATCTTTCTGCCCAATACCACTTTGTACCAATTATAGTACTGTTTAGTAATTTTCGTACAACTATAGTACACATTTGCAAAACCACCGCCATATCTTAACCACAGACACCAACAGTGGCATATATATCAAATTTCAGGATTTCAGCTTAATTTCTTCAACCAATTCAAAATGTAGTATTTTTTGTACAATAATAGTACACATTTCTAAAACCACCTTCATATTTCAATTCCAGATACCAACGGAGACTTCAATTTCAAATATAGGGATTCCAGCTCAATTTCTTCATCCAATACCAAATTTAGTTCCTTATGGCCATATCTCAATTTCAGATATCAATAGAGATCTCAATATCAAATTTCAGGATTCCAGCTCTATCCCTTCACCCAATACAAAATTTAGTACTTTTGGTTCAATTATAGTACACATTTCTTAAATCACCTTCATATCTCAATTTCAAATACCAACAGAGACCTCACAAACAAAACTTTTAGTACAAATATAGACACATTTCCAAATATCAAATTGCAGAGTTTTATCTCTATCCCTTCATCCAATGACAAATACAGTACCATTCAGAACTTTTGGTACTACCAATGAACCGCTACCAATGAACCGCAACCTTAATACGAAATTTCGGATTTCAAGCACTATATGTTCAGTATTTAGTAATTTTTGTGCGCTTGTAGTACACATTCCTAAAAGCACATCTATCACAAAACTGCCACCAAGAGGGACCTGATACCAACATTTCAAATTCCAGCTTCTTCCGTTCACCCAAAACGGAATTGTACCAAATTTAGTATCATTTAGTACAGTTCGCACTTTTTGTACACATTTGCAAAGCCACCTTCATATATCAAACTTACTTTCCAACCAAATTTTAAATTCTCTTACAAACTCTGACCGTTCACATAATGTCAAATGGTGCCTCATCGAAATAACTTTTTTAGACCCTAGGTCTCTTCGGACCAAATCCGTTACAGGATATTTGGAGTCGATCTAGCAATGTCCGTCCGTCTGGCTGACTGGAGCGCTCGATATCTCTCAAAGGGAGTATTCGATTTGGTCCAAACTTGGTACATCGTAATATTATTATCAAACTTAGATCGAATATATCGGTCCACTCCTTCTGGTACCTCCTCCACAAAGGTTCAAAATTTTGAATATCCATGAAGCTCATAAAACGTGAAATTAATATCCGATTCCATTCTGAATTGATACATCTCAATATTTTCATAAACATAAGATCTGTTATAGATAAAGATGGTAAAGATAGTAGAGATAGGATCATTTCGTCAGGTACTTCCCCCACATAGGGTTCAAGATTCTGAAAAACAAAACGCTCAAAAAAAGAGAAATAAGCAGCCAACTCTCTTCATATTTCACACATCCCATTATTTCTACTAACACAAAATCTGATATGAAGATGGAAAATATCGGTCCACTCCTTCTGGTATCTCCCCCACAAAGGGTCAAAATTTATAAAACGCGAAATTAATATCCGATTCCATTCAGACTTGGTACATCTCAATATTTCCACCAACACAAAATCTGTTATAAAGATGGTAGAGATCGGACCATTTCTTCTGGTACATGCCCAAAAAAGGGTTCAAGATTTTAAAAAACAAAACGCTCAAAAAAAAGAGAAATAAGCAGCCAACTCTCTTAAAATTTCACACAGGCATTTTTACTAACACAAGACCTGTTGTGAAGGTGATATATATCTGCGAGCCCCTTCTGGTACATCAGCCACAAAGGGTCACAATCTTCAATGCTTTCATCTGTCATAACTTGCGAAACAAGTCAAGCTATTCTTTACCACTTGCTATATGTAAATATTTCTCTCAACCCGAAACCTGAGATGAATATGGAATTTATGATTTCGCACAAAATTGGATATAAATGTTCGGTTTTCTTGCAAATTTTGGCCATACCAATATTTTTATCTGTATTAGATGAAGTATGAAAATTCGAATACTTCGGTCGACTATATCAGGAGGTACCTCAGGCACATTTTAAAATTTTCTAAAAATTATCACCTATCTCAAATATAATGAAGGAAGTAGTCGATATAGTGCAAACCTGCCACGTTGCAATATTTATATCGCATTAATTTACGTCCGACACGAAATGGTCAATATTGGCCCATACCTTCGGAACCTATAGAAACAGAAGTCAAAATATATTTAAATAATCGAACATTGGCAGATGGTATACATCTGTCGGCAAAACGGACTGATACTTCCTCATTTGTTATTATACCCTCCACCATAGTATGGAGGAATATACAAAGTATATTTATTCTTGATCAGCATAAAATTCTATGTCGATTTATCAATGTCCGTCCGTCTGTCCGTCCGTCCGTCTGTCCGTCTGTGGAAATCACTCTAGCTTCCGAACGAAATGAAGTAGGTTGATAAAATTTTACTCAAATGTGTATTATGTCTGCAGGACTTTTGGTATTGTAGGTCCACGTCTTCGTATAGCCCCCATATAACGGTACCTCCCGATATGCGGTATTTTGATGATTTTAGCGACATTACTTACCGGAATTGTTTCAAAATTGGTATTTAAAGTTCGTAATAGAAACTACAACATAAAACAGAAAATGGGCCGTGTAGGTCCACGTCTTCGTATAGCCCCCATATAACGGTACCCCCGATATTCAGTATTTTGATGATTTTAGCGACATTATTTACTGAAATTGTTTCAAATTTGTTATTTGAAGTTCGTAATAGATACTACACCACAAAACAGGAAATGACCATGTAGGTCTACGTCTTCGTATAGCCCCCACATAACGGTACCTCCCGATATGCGATATTTTGATGATTTTAGCGACATTATTTACCGGAATTGTTTCAAAATTGGTTTTTAAAGTTTGTAATAGATACTACAGCTAAGGACAGAAAATGGGCCATGTAGGTCCATGTCTTCGTATAGACCCCATATAACGGTACTTCTTGATATTCGGTATTTTGATGATTTTAGCGACATTATTTACCGGAACTATTTCAAATTTGATATTAGAATTTCATAGTGAATAATACAGCCTATGACAGAAAATTGTCTGTGCAGATCCAGGTTTTATAACCCCCATGGTACCTCCCTATATTCGGTATTTTGATGATTTAGCTACATTATAAACAGATTTTTTTCAAGTTTCGCATTTGAATATTGTAAAAGCTTGTGACAAAAGTTGCCTATGCAGGTCCATGTCGTCGTATAGACCCTAATATACGGCTACATTCTGTATGTTTAAGATTTTAACAGAATTTTTAACGGATTTTTTTTTTTTTTGAAAACTGTTAAATTTTTACTAAATGGCTTTTTACTTGTTTTTTATTAATTTTTTTGTTTTTGTGCGTGTTTACCCAATTTTTAATTAACTTTTATTTAATTAACATTTAGACTGTTAGAATTATAAAAGAATGCTTGCTTCTTCGCCCAGGTCATTCCAGAACTCCGCCTATGTACACAACTCGTTTCACATATTCCCAAAATTTTATATATTTTCCATGACTCACAGAGCATGCCCCTATGAACATGTAACAATTATCGGTGGGTGATAATGAAGACGTTTCTGATACTGTGTCTGGTTCCGCTGATAAACACAAAACACACGAAATGAAAACTTTTACCACCATCGCCTGCCATGTTAAAATGCCCCACAAAGTGTTTAGTTACTCTGGCTGTTTGGGAAAATATTTATTCTTTCGCTTCAGAAACACAAATCAATACCAAGATGCGTTTCTATTTGCACAACAAATGGTATTAGTAATGCACACAAGACAAGACTAGAAAAAAGACGTTAAAAAGCTAAAGCTAGTTCCACAAAAAAAATGGATGGCCTAAATGTAACGTCGAAAAGTAAAACAAAATAAGTCATCAACGAACGTAATAATGATGTTCAATAAAATACACACACAACCACAACTAGGCATCCATGAAGTGCCGGCAGGCGGGTGGGCAATGGGTGTGGGTATCTCTGGAAGACAAGACATTTTCATATAAAAACATTTCACAATTTGGTTATCAATCCACAGAATTCAGATACTCGAAACTCAAAACAAGACTTCTTTAAATCGAACAAAGAAACCATTTTAGATTCATTGATTTTTTCGGTTGGTTGGTGAAAGAACAACAGAAAGTGAAAATAAAAAAAACAACGCTTCGAAGAAGGAAACCGTATTATTAACAAATTTTAAAGTACTACAAAAACAAAAAAAAATCTCTGCTAAATAAGTGATTTTTTTCCTTGTGTGTTTGTGTGATTTATAACAGGAGGATATTCTGGCCAGACAGGCTCGTCGCTTCAAAGAAATACGTTAAAGGAGTTACTTACGACAAGGTCAAGGAGGTTCAACAAGATGTGGCGCCTTGCAGCTATTTTAATGGTATTTTCAAAAGTATTTATCGTCGATATTAATTATGTATTCGGACTAATTTTTTGATAAAAAAATGTAGCAGTGACAACGGCAAATATTTTCGGCAATGACGTAAATATTTCACAAATGTGAGAATAAAATATCGAAAGTTTTTGAAATTTCGTTCCAAAGAAACTTTGATCGTGAAAATTATTATATATGATATTGAGAGTAGTTTAAATGGAAACGGTTATATGGGGACTATACGAAGACGTGGACCTGCTTACGATTTTTTTTCATAGGCTGTAATACCTATTACGAACTTCAAATACGAAATTTTAAGTAGTTCCAGTGAATAATGTCGTTATATGAGGGATATACGAAAACGTGAACCTGCATACGTGAACTCCATTACGAACTTTAAATAAGAATTTTTTTACAATTTCCGTGAATAATGTCGCAGAAACCATTAAAATATCGAGTATCGGGAGGTACCATCATATGGGGGCTCTACGAAAACTTGGACCTGCATACGGAATTTTTTCCATAGGCCCATTAAGACCTTCCAATACAAAATTTTAAACGATTCCGGTGATTAATGTGCCTGAAATCATCAAAATACCGACTATCGGGAGGTACCGTTATATGGGGGCTATAAATAAAAAAAATTGTCATAGGATGTAGAACTTAAAATACGAAAGTTGAAATCATTCCGGTAAAAAATGTCGCTAAAAACTTGAAAATACCGAATATTCGGAGGTACCGTTAGATGGGGGCTATAGAATTATAGAGGGTATAAAAATGTGAATTGGAAAATTTTTAATTTTTGCCTGGTGTATTTGGCTAATACGGACGTACAAAACATTTCACCACAGTGGGGAAGTTAAATATTTGTGTATGCTACGTCAAATTCAAAATTGCATCCTAGCGATACGCATTCAATCCGTCTTCAGACCGCAAGTTAAATGGAGTGGTTGACGTGTTATCGGACCGAAGGATCGGATGAGAGTCTGAAATTTAGGCCGACTTTCAACCGACCGAAGTCGGACCAAATTCGCAAGGATATCCATGGGAAATTCGGAAGGGAAATTACAGTTGTCGGACCGAACTCGAATGAATTATCGTGTGCATTTCTGATTTTTTTGCCGACTTTCTAACTGTTTTCGGTCCGAATTCGGGAAAAAGTTCTCACGTACATTTTAACAAAAGCCATAATCACAAGAGCAAATAGCAATTACATTCGAATTTTGGTCCTTCAAATGCCCATTTTTAGGGGGCTAGCTTTATATCGAAGTATTGTAAATAGCTGACCTATATTGAAAATGCTTTGCAGGAAGACCCCATAGAACGGTACCCCCCGATTTTCGGTATTTTGATGATTTTAGCCATATTTTTCAATGGAATTATGTGAAATTCTACACAAGGAATTCCTTCTGATTACTTTACCCCCTGAAAAATAATTATCTATATAGGTCCTGGATATCGTAAATCCCCCATACAATGGTGCCCCCCCCCCCCCCCCATATTGGGTATTTCGATGATTTTAGCCACATTTTTCAATTGAAGTTGCTTGAAATCCACACAAGGAATTCCTTCTGAGTACTTTAAGCCTTGAAAGAGAATTGCCTATATAGGTTCAAGATATCGTTTACCCCCCATATAACAGTACCTTCCGACGTACGGTATTTTTATGATTTTAGTCACATTTTCAATGACATTGTCTGAAATTCTACAAAAGGAGTTATCTGTGAGTACTTTAACCTCTAAAAGAGAATTTTCTATATAGGTCCACGATAAAGCACCCATAAAATAGTGCCCCCCGATTTTCGGTTTTTTGTATGATTTTATCCATATTTTCAATGGAATTTGCTTGAAATCCACACAAGGAGTTCCTTCTGAGTACTTTACGCCCTGAAAGAGAATTGTCTATATAGGTCTACGATATAGTATAGCCCTCATATAGCGGTACCCCCGATATTCGGTAGTTTGATGATTTTAGCCACACTTTTCAATGGAATTGTCTGAAAATCCACACAAGGGATTCCTTCTGACTACTTTATCCCCTGAAAGAGAATTACGTAATTAGTTCCCCGTTTCAGTATAGCGCCCATATAATGGTACCCCCAGTTAGTCGGCATTTTAATAATTTTTGCAGATTACTTATGCAAGATCACGTCTTCGTATGGCCCCCATATAACGGTTTTAATTGAAGCGGTATTTGAAATATTTCAAGTTTCTTTCTCGGCCGAACTTAGCTTCTTTTTTACTTATTCATTCAACATTTTCTATTCCAAAATCAGATTGACAGTTCATTGTCCCAGCAGCTGTGTCAATGCGACTACCTGTATATGATCTGACCTTTTGGAATAGGGTCTGATCTTTTAGAATATGGTCTGACCTTTTGCTTATCGGACAGTTCATATTTAAATTAAACTTCTAATAACGAAAAATGATTAATTTGACCGACATCATTCTTTGTCGATCAGAAAGATGTAATAACCAGCCTATAAAACTCTAAATTAAATCCAACATTTTTTTTTTTCAATTTTTTCTTACAGACTTTTTCTCTAAACTTATGCCTGGCAGCAGTCTATACGCATCGACCTTTATACACCAGACAATCACAGATTCAGGCACGTGAAACAACCACCTGTGAAGGACGTCAATTACCAGGACCCATATGCGAATCGTGCGATCTGTTGGCCACCTGTGTCAAACATTCCACGGGCTGGGTCAATATACCCGTAGAGACATGTGATACCCAGAATGGTTTCTATTGTAATTCACTGCTGGGTAGATGCAGCAATGAAACCGGACCCTGCCATCCCCTAAGTGCCGAAGGTAATTTCCCATGCACATCGCATGGTGTTTTCCCCGATCCGTATGATTGTCAGAAATATCACATGTGCTATTTTGTCGGACCCACACTGGTATCGGCTACGGTAAATTGTGGCGGTGACAAGGCCTTCAATCCAGCCACTGGCCAGTGTTCGTTGACCCTAACACATTCGGTTTGCCAAAATCAACAGTTCATTTGTGAAAATGCTGGCGATGCCCATGGTTGGCCCATGAGTCCGAATATCTTCTATATTTGCAAAGCAAGCACCAACCAGGATGAACGTATCCTTTATCCTACTTTGTATCGTTGTGATGATGGTGAAGTATTTGATGGTTACTATTGTCGTCCCGCCGCCCCTGGAAGTCAGATGCCAAGTCTACCACCTTCCATGGAAGTGGTTAATAATCCTCCTTCCGTCCAGGTGCCAACACAAGCACCACTTATTCCGGATCAAACTGGAGCAAAACCTAAGGTGTGTTCTGAAATTGGCCTGTTTGCCGATACTGGCGATTGTCACAAATATTATTATTGTTCGGCCATCAGTGGTAGTTTGAGGCAAATGGAGTGTCCCACCGGTACTGTTTTCAATGAAGCCCTGTCCTCTTGTACCCTCGGAGAATGTTAATAAAACAAATAAACTATTTTTGTATGATTTGACTTGCAATTAACTTTTTAAATAAACTCCTAATTTTCATCCACTCGTTCTCTTGCTTCTCTTTTCTCCTTTGGCTGTGTGTGTATTCATAAACCAGCGGTGCTCAAGAAAAAATACCTCTTTTCAGTCAAATTTCTCTTTGCTTATTTAAATCAAGAACAAAACAGTGTTAAGTCATTATTTATAAAAATATTATTTATCCATTTGCTTTATAAATTAATTTGGCAAACATTCGTGTCTAAGAACAATTTAATAGAACCGTAAAATATAAAGAAAAACAGAATTTTAATTTTCTCTTAAATTATCTCTTTTTTCGGTCCATGTTCTAGAACACGGTTTTGAGCACCGCTGTCATAAACAAACATCAGCTGAGCGGCATTCATATCATTTTATGGGTGTATATAAGAGAGTAGTAAAATAACTGAATGACTGAGATTCAACAACCAGGCGAAACGGCTGTAGCTAGAATCCATGGCAGAAGAATATAGGTAGACGCGTCGACACAGCTTCTGGGACAATGGACTGTCAAACCAATTTTGGAATTGAAAATGTTGAATGAAAAATTATTTAAATTTGTAAAAATTGTTAAAAAATGAGAATTATAATAGCCTCCGAATGACGCAGTATAAGAAAACATATAAAAATATACTTATATTTGAAAAAACATTTAAATTTGTTTGACATATCAATGCTCCCAAGCGTTGATGCATCTACCTGTATTCTTATGCCATGATAGAATCTTTAAATTTTGCACGACGTGCTTAGGCTTGTGATATGGAAATTCGTACTAAAAGGGTACAAAAAGTACCAAAATGTAATAAAAATTGATTGCTTAATATTGGACAACCGATATGAACCATAATTCTAAAATTTGGAATGAGAGTCACTGATGGAGTCAAGGATATATGTTGCAAAGGGGTTTTGAAAATTTGAACTTTAATGTTACGAAAAGTTTTAAAATGGTACTAAACTTCTGGTACCATTCGATAATATGTAAACGCATGGTACAATGAATACAATGTAAGCTAACTTTGAAAAAATTGCAAGTATAGAGGTCTACCTGTTTGGCTTGTAATGTCAGAATTACTATCAAAACAATAAAAAAGCAAACAACTTGTTGCATTGATTTTGAATAAATAATTTAAAACCGCGAAAACTGAATAAAAGGTCAAAATTTATTTTCAAAATCATGTTCTATACATCTCTTATGGTTAATTTCGCGACAAAAACTGGAGATTTTTTTATTATTGAAAAGAATACACTCACACATGAACAAATGAAATTGACATATTAAGCCAGAAAAATAAAAAAAAATTAAAATCATATGGTGGTTCTGCCCTACCTTGAATTCATTGTAGCATGATGTAAACGTATATAGCTAAAAACTTGAAGTTTGGTATGAGAATCAAGGTTGGAAAGTAAGTTTGATATATGAAAGTGGTTTTGGAAATGTGTACCAGGTACTTTTGGGTATGTGTATTACAAGTATATGTATATAAGCTGTACGAAAAGTTTCGAATCTTATTATAGTTGGTATTGGATGAATGGAAGAGATGGTATCTGTGATTGGGGATTTGGCGGTGGTTTGGAAATGCGTACTATATTTGTACGAAGAGTTTGGTAATGGATAGGGCTGGAATCCTCAAATTCGAAAATGAGGTCTCTGTTTGTATGCTAAATTGAGAAATGGAGGTGGCTTTGGAAATTTGTACTATAATTGTAAGAAAAATACTAAATAGTACAAAATTTGGTATTGAGTGAAAGAATAGAGCTGAAATCCTGAATTTGATATTGACATCTCTGATGATATTTGGGATTTTGGAAATGTGTACTATAATTGTACGAAAAGTACTAAATAGTACAAAACTTGTCATTGGGTGAAGGAATAGAGCTGAAATTTGATATAGATCTCACAGTTGGTGTCTGTGGTTGGGAGAAGGAACTGGTTTTCGATATGCGTACTATAATTGTACAAGAAGTACTAAATTTCGTATTGAGTGAAGGAATAGAGCTGTAAATACTGACATTTGATATGGATGGCCCTGTTGGTGTCTGATGTTGATAAAAGCAGCTGTTTTGAATATTGTACTATAATTGTTCGAAAAGTACTAAATGGTACTAAATTTGGTTTTGATTGAAAGGATAGAACTGGAATCCCGAAATTAGATATTGAGGTTTCGGTTCGTATCTGGAATTGAGAAATGGAGGTGGTTTTGGAAATGTATACTATAATTGTACGAAAAGTACTAAATAGTACAAAATTTGGTATTGGGTGAAAGAATAGAGCTGAAATCCTGAAATTTAATATAGATCTCACAGTTGATATCTGGGATAGAGATTTTTTTGGAAATATGTGCTATAATTGTACGGAAAGTATTAAATACTACTAAATTTTGGTATTGGGTGAAGGATGTCACTGTTGGTGTCTAAGGTTGAGAAAAGGAACTGGTTTTGGAAATGTGTACTATAATTGTTCGAAAAGTGGTTTCTGATGAGAGAAAAATGAGAAAATCAGCTGTTTTAGATATTGTACTGCAATTATTCGAAAAATACTAAGTGGTACTAAATTTGGTTTTGGGTGATGGGATAGAACTGGAATTCCGAAATTAGATATTGGGGTTTCTGTTGGTATCTGGAATTGACACATGGAGGTTGTTTTGAAAATATGTACAATAATTGTACGAAAAGTACTAAATAATACTAAATTTGGTATTGGGTGAAGGAATAAATCTGGAATACTGAAATTTGAGATCTCAGTTGGTAATTGGAATTGAGGAGGTGATTTCGGATATTTTGTACTATTGTTGTACGAAAAGTACTAAATACTGTGTCTACAATGCAAAGAGTAACAGCTTATGACAAAGGCATGTTAATATAAAAACCACAATTACAGAAATGAATGACAAATAAAAGTTAAAAAAATCCAAATTCTATTCCATAGGCCTTTCTAAAAATTTGCATATTGTCTTAGGGGTTTACATCAGTTAACATTGGTAACTATGTTGTTATGATATCATAACAATAGAGGTATTTTCACAGGGTTGCCATATTTTGACTCAGTCCTGTCCTATCTTTATGCTTCTATGTCTTTGAATGCATTTTGTCTAGTCTTTATCATTTTAAGGTGGGAATACATAAAGCACTTATCTGGCTGGCTTAAGGTGGGAATACATACAGCGCTTATCTGACTGGCTTAAGTCATCGGGTAGCTTCTTCGGAAATGAACAAAGGAGCCTAGGGTCAAAATCGAACTAAGACAACCTAAAACTCCTTTGTTCATCTACGAAGAAGCCAGCCGATGACTTAAGCCGGCCAAATATGCTCTTTATGTATATGCACCCTTAAGTCATCCGCTGGCTTCTTCGGAAAGGAGCCTAGGGCCAAAATCGAATTAAGTCAACCTAAAACTCCTTTGTTCATCTACGAAGAAGCCAGCGGATGACTTAAGCCAGCCAATTTTACGCTTTATGTATGTCCGCCCTTAGGTCTTTGAACAAAGAAGTTTTAGGTTGACCTAGTTCGGTTTTGGCCCTACACTCCTCTGTTATTTTGCGAAGAAGCCAGCCGATGACTTAAGCCAGTCAAAAAAGGGAACCAAGTAAACCTAAAACTCCTTTATTCCTTTACGAAGAAGGCAGCCGATGACTAAAGCCAGTCAAAAAAAAAAACGCTTTATGTATTCTCACCTTAAGAGAAATGCGGTATAATTTTTACAATATGATTTGATTTGCTATTCCAAGCGAAAGTGTTTGTTAGCAAGCGCCACACCATTTGTGGTAGGATCGCTAGAACTAGTGATGGCAGTACCGAAAATATCAAAGCGGCAATTGAAGGAAATGATTCCTCTGATTTGATTTTCCATTGGAAAATAAATTGTTTGACTCAGACGCGAATGTTAACCAATTTTAATTGTCTGATTTATACAAGTTTCAAGAGATGTTAATTTGAATATAAACGAACTATTATTTCTTTTCAATTTCAAATCATAGACACAAATAGTTGTATTTGACATACTCGCGTACTGACTGAAACACAGGTGCTTCTGAACTCTTGAGGTGAAACTACCTTTGCCATGGTGACACGGTAACGGTGAAAATACATAAAACGTTTTTTCACTGGCTTAAAGGTGGGAATAAATAAAGTACTTATTTGGCTGGCTTAAGTCATCGGCTGGCTTCTTCGAAAATTAACAAAGGAGTCCAGGGTCAAAATCGAACTAAGTCAACCTAAAACTCTTTTGCTCCTTTACGAAGAAGCCAGCCGATGACTTAAGTCAGCCAAATAAGCGCTTTATGTATTCCCACCCTAAGTCATCGTCTGGCTTCTTCGTAAAGGAGCAAAAGGGTTTTAGGTTGACTTAGTTCGATTTTGGTCCTACGCTCCTTTATTCTTTTCCGAAGAAGTCAGCCGGTGACTTAAGCCTGTCAAAAAGCATTTTATGTATTGTCACCTTAAGGTCAGCTGAAACCTTCCTTTGCTTTATTAAAAAACATGGTAGAACTAAGAAAGTAAAGTCATGTAATCATATGTTTACAATTTTTTGAAATCTATGCATTTGACAACATCTCATTGTCAAAATCTATATTCATAAATCAGAGATGGGAACTGTTTTTTATGCCTTGAAATTTGACAAGGTTAATTACAAAAATCGCAAAGCTGGGAATGCTTATCTATATATATAAAAGAAAGTTGTGTTAGTTACTACGCTTATAACTTAAGAATCGCTGGACTGATTTTAACGATTCACACAAATTCGGAATTGTCTCCTCTCCGAAAAGGATAATATCCAAAAAAATCACGTAAAAATGTGATATATTAACATTTTCATTTTGACTTTTGAAATGTACAATAGTAATGTTTTATTTTGCATGATTTTTTTCCATTTTGACTTAATTTTTTCTAATGTACATTTGTAGTGTTTTTTATATTTTATTTTTGAATTTTTATTTTGAATTAATTGACTTGATTTCTTGAGAACTGATATTGATGGCGGGTTACACGGAAGTGTAGTGCCGAATTATGTGGTGGCGAAATGGAATATCGAAATAATTGAACGCGGTCACACCAAAGTTAAAGATAATTACTTTTTCAAAATCGCTAAAAAATCACAAAAAAGAGATCTCATTGCAAAAATTCTCAAATCGGAAAAAAATCTAAAAAAAAATCATTGGAATCGAATTTAAAAATAATAGTACATTCTATTGACAATCTTTACAAGGATCTTTAAACATTTGCTGTAAAAATTCAGCGAACAAGTTGAAGATTTTTTCAATTTGTATTATCTTATTGAATTCAATGGAATTTTTTGTGAACAAAATAAAGAATAATTTTTCAATCTATATAATTTTTACCAAAAAATTAAATAAGTGCGAAATACTATGTAAACTGACATCTACCTTTCAACTCCAGGGCCTACACCGTTTTTCAGCTGGAAGATGCGAACACATTTAAACAAACAAAAATGACCGAAAAAAACCTAATGGGGCTCATTTCAAAGCCTGGACCTACTTCTTTCATGTGACAATAATCCGTCCAATGAGAGCTCAAAATGCAAAATTCTTTGGGAGTGCAATCAGTAAAATACCAAATATAAAGGGTGCAAAATAGTAGAGCGAATGGGACTTTTAGTAAGAAAAGGATTTATATCCTTTCCAAACATTCAATATACCTTAAATCGCTTTTGCAGGTCATGATATCGATCATAATTCTCGGATAAGGGTACAACCCTATTTAACCCATATTTATATAACCTCCGTATGATTTAAGATATTTTTGCGGTCTTGGCCACTTTTTTCTTTGTTTGGCCCTTATTTGGCATCTTTGTTTCTAAGGGGTAGAGAACCTCTTCGCATAAAATTTGAAATTTTCAGAATAAGGTCAATATTTGTCTTGACCACATTCATCAATTGATTTGGCTAAAAAATTGTATTTATGCTACTCTGGGGTGGGGAACCATCATACAGAGTGCCACATAGGAATTTATTTAAGTAAAGTCCCCATATTAGAGTATCCCCAAGTCCACTTTCACATCTAATGTGTGGTCAGAAAAGAAAATATTGTATTCTATTGAATTTGTGACCCCCAGGAGAATATTGGTTAGGAACGTATATTTGGGATGTAGATCTATATGAAATAATTTGTGAAAACATGAACAAATTACAAATATAAGAAAGTAGCACGGGACCAAATATTTGTTGAGTCGTCACTGAATTATACTATGATGAAAAATATGGTCTTTATGGGGTCTCCAACTTACAATTTAAATGGCAAATAAAATTAATTCCCATCTTACGGTAATGGGTGTAAAATAGTAATTATATTTGACTATTCTGAAATCATTCTGTCCTCATTTATGAGGTGGATAAAACTATTTTTACTTATTTAAATCACTCGAATTTTTCAGTTTGACATGCTATGCTGTTCCGCTATATTTTTAATTTGGCCTCTATTTGTCATCTTGGATTATAAGAGGTAGAAGAAAGTTTTCAATGTAGGTCGGAGTAGTGCCCATATAAAGGTACCTCCTGATTTTACCATATTTCTAAGGATTTGGCTAAAAATGTGTATTTGCGGGGTGAAAATCTTACACAAACATTTCAAGATATCTACAAAATTTTAGAATTTTCTCCATGTAATAGTACCCCCTCAAGTTCACCTTTTGGTGGACAAACAGACAGACATGGTTAGTGGGACTTATGAGGACTCTAATGCACAATGTAAGGTGTTACTGGGTTTAAAAAAGTAATTAACTTTAGCTATTCTTAAATCATTCGGCCCTCAGTTATGAGGTGTAGAAAATACAGTAAATTCCAAATTATTGCTCATTTGACTGGAAAATTTTGCTACGATTTTTACCATACTAAAAATTAATTTAATCCCTTACATGGGGATACGATTAATATATACTTTTTAATAGATTTGTACATCCACACATTTGAAGCCCTCGGTTTAAATATGAAAGCCCACGGCTTAAATATAGGCACAGGTATTTCAAAACACTTTTAATCGACCAGTACGTGAACACTTATATCAGTCATATCAGTGAATAATTATGCTTGGGAAAATATGCATAATAGACAAAAACTACGGGCCGGCAACGCGGACCGGGCCAGCTAGTTTGAAAAATTTTAATGTACCATGTTCAAAAACTTGTGTAAAAAAAATGTGTGTAAAACATTGACATGTAAAATTTGTGAAATATTGTTTTGCATTTTCTTCCTTTTTGATTGATTCTACACAGAAAAACATTTAAGGGCAAGAGATGACTAAAGGTGAGAATACATAAAACTCATACAATACATAAATCAACCTAAAGCCCCTTTGTTCTTTTACGGAGAAGCCAGCAGTTGACTTAGGTCAAAAATGCGTTTTATGCATTCTCACCTTTAATCCAGTCCAAAAAAAAAAAAAACCTTTTATGTATTCTCACTCTAATGTTTTACTGGGTATGCCTATTGTTTATTTTTGCGCAATATCCGCTATCGCAAAGCACCTTTTTTGTTATCTTCCTAATGCCAACCCCCCCTACCACTCTATGCCAAGAAATACGATTTGCCCAATTCATTTTAATTAAAACGAAAACGATTTGTTCCGATAATAATCTCGTTATTTTCAACAAGAAAAATATATTTTATTAAAACAAAATCGTAACGACTTGTCATAGGACAACAATCCACCGATTGCAGTTGGGTATAAATATCTTAAATGCGATCCGAAGCAATGAAAAGAGTTAGTAATTGATTTGACAAGACGGCATAAACATGAAGCTACTTCTAATAAATCTAACGGTAAGATTGTTTTTCACAGTATGTGAATTTTTAAATTGCTAATCAGTGTTTATCGTTGACGTATACGAACGATACGATTTTAGAAAATAATTACTAATTTCAAATGTTAACTTCCAGGCCTGCCTGCTGCCACTGGCAATGACAATGGCCAATGTTGCCATTGAGTATTCGAGTCTAGCGGATCCCTTTGCCGTAATGCAAAATCCCTGCGATGACATACGCAATGGACAATTCCTGTGCAAAGATTGCGCCACACTGGCCTTCTGCTACCAGGAAGAAGGTAATTGGAATACCATGCAGATAGCCAGCTGTGATACGGGCCGTGGCCTGTATTGTGACGAAGATGTTCGTGGCTGTGTCTACAAAAAAGAATGCGTCAGTCGTGGACCTAAGTTTGAGTGCCAGAATGCTGGCGTGTTTCCCGATCCGTACGATTGCAAGCAGTATCATGTCTGCAGTGCAAATAAAGAAGACGAACGTATGATATGTCCATCGGGTTCAGCCTATTCTCCAGCCACAAAATCTTGTTCTCTGTCCACCAGCAATGAAGCATGTCGCAAGGCCCAATATACTTGTGACAATGTCTTAGACATGGGAGTGTGGCCTTCGGATCCAAATATCTACTATATTTGTTGGTATACATCGGTCAACGGTGAGATTGTACGTTATCCCATGTTGTATCGTTGTCAGGATGGTTATGAATTCATTGCCAATACGTGTATGCCAAAAAGTTCGATATCTGCTCCCGGATCTACTACACGAAAGGAAACACCCGCTACACCAATAACAACGACAACTGTGGCCTCACCCCTTTCGTGTGATCTCGCCACTAATTTGCTGGCAAACCCAAGCGATTGTCACTCGTATTTTATTTGCAAAAATGGACAGCTCGAAAACAGGCAGTGTCCAGCGGGAACTTACTTCCAGGCCACTACACTTATGTGCGTTTCAGGAAGCTGTTGAAACAATGTTTTTTTAAACCTTTTGTTTTCAATAAAATTTTAATAATATCCAGAGCATAAAAATAATGTGAAGAACTTTGAAATTTTAATAGAAATTCAGGGACTTCTACTGCAATTAGCTGCATAATATTATCAGGCATGTCACAAAATCCAATCGGAATCCGTTCCGTAATTTAAAACCGATCGTTATACCCTCCACCATACATAGTATGGAGGGTATATTAAGTTCGTCATTCCGTTTGTAACTCATCGAAATAATCATTTTAGACCCAACAAAGTATATATATTCTTGATCAGCGTAAAATTCTAAAACGATATCGTATAGCCCCCATATAACGGTACTCCCCGATATTCGGTATTTTGATGATTTTAGCCACATTTTTCAACGGAATTGTCTGAAATTCCACACGAGGAGTTCATTGTGAGTACTTTCTCCCTTGGAAGAGAATTATCTATATAGGTCTACGATATCGTATAGCCCCCATATAACGGTACCCCGATATTCGGAATGTTGATGATTTTACCCGCATTTTTCAACGGAATTGTCTGAAATTCCACACGAGGAGTTCATTGTGAGTACTTTCTCCCTTGGAAGAAAATTATCTATATAGGTCTACGATATCGTTAGCACAATTAATTTTATTTTTTGAAAATTTTCTAATTCTTTCCAAATGGTGGAACGTATTCAAAGTTCGGCCCGGCCGAACTTACTGCTTTTTTACTTGTTTTAGTTATTTTTTCAGATTCCGAACGATTTGGTGAACTGCGAAAATCTCATTATTCAGTGTAAATATGCAACATTAAATATGGAAAGGCATCAGTCCCAGAAGAATGGTGGAATATTAAAATTTCACCAATCAAGAAACAAAGAAAGAGCCCCTCTAAAATACAAAACTATAGGCCGCTGTTCTCAGTGCCTCTCACATGCCTAGAATCAATGTTTAAAGAATTGTTACAAAATGTTATCGAATCCAATCATCTGTTCCCAACACGTTCCTATGTATTCAGAACGGCTCATGTGTATTAATGACTTAATTAACATGATATACGCCCTAGGTTAGGGTACATAAGCAGATTGGCATCATGGCTAGGCATATTAATGTAAAATTATAAGGGGAAACGACAGGACAGCAGGATTCGAGTGCGGCGCTCGCATCGCTTTATGATTTGTCACAAAATATGCCATGCAAAGACTCAATTAAGCTGGCTTAATTCATCGGCTGGCTTTTTCGGAAATGAACAAAGGAGCCTAGAGCCAAAATCGAACTAATCATCATCACAAAGAAGCCAGCCAAATAAGCGTTTTATGTATTCCCACCTTAGGGGCTCCACCGTCTCGGTTTCCTCCTCGTCCTGACTGAGCCTGCAGTATTCGGTGTCGTCGCTCCCCCACTTTGAAGTCATGGCCCTTATGTTGAAGTGAATTGTGCTTAGGCCCACTATAGCATTTAGGTCAGATTTCGCCAAGGAGATGAGTGATGTTGATCTCCGCTCGGAGATCCCCGGCCATATTTTCTTGGAGACATTATATCCCCTTCCATACAGCCAGTTCTGATTGAATCTCCCAAGGTACTTGGAAGAAGTAACATAATGGTGGCTTCACTGAGCTATCGATCCCTATATCTACTGACGCAGATCAGCCTCTGGCCAATTCATCTGGTGATTCATTGCCAGGGACTCAATAATGTTTGACAGACGACTTAAACTTTTCCGAAGCATTTCTGCATTCCGCAACTGCCATAGATTTAATTGTAACAGAATTAAGAGCCTTTAAGGCCGCTTGACTATCGACATATATAGTCACCGGCCCATTCAATTGATTTCATTGATTCTGTTTTCCAGCAGCTCCAATGCTTTCCTGATAGCAAAGATTTCTGCCTGAAAAACGCCGCAGTCGTTGTTCAGTTTAAAGGATATCCAGATATTCAGGCATTCACAAGAAGACTCCAGCTCCCGTTCCACTTTCCATCTTTGAACCATCAGTGTAGACGGCTATACCGTTAAAAGGTGGGGTGTTCCGCGCCCAGATGTCCCTGTTGGGTAGATGGATGTCCAGTGATTCGACATTAAACGCAGCTGTAATTAGTAACGATGCTTCTCTTTGGACTTTATCAATACTTTTGCTGAGGGATAGGTTAGGTTAAAGGATGTGTGGTTGCATAAAAACAAGCACTCCACTCGGAGACCTAGTGGTCCATTGTGATCATCCTAATTTAGAATAGAAGTGAATGTGAAAGAAGTTAGGAGGTTAGAGTAGAATAGATAGGAAATAGAAGAGTTAGTGGGTTTGCATCCACGCTATAGTCAGCGTGTCGTCCTTAGCCATTTTAGTCTTCTGGCTAGCTGAAGAATGACTGCTGGCTCGGTTTCGGAGAGGCATGACAAATCCGGCAGAATTTGCTTACCTAAAAGCCTATGTCTTCCCCGATCAGGGTAGGACAGTGACAGAGTAAGTGTTCCACCGTTTCTGTTTCTTCCTCATCTTGGCAAAGCCTGCAGTATTCAGTGTCGTCACCCCCCCCATTTTGAAGTCATGGCCTTTATGTTGCAGTGACCTGTAATTAGACCCACCACAAGCTTCAGGTCCAACTTCGTCATGGATGTGAGTGACCGTGATCTCTTTTCTGAGTTCACTGGCCAAATCTTTTTGGAGATGTTACATCCCCTTCCAGATAGCCAGTTTTGTTGAAATCTCCCAAGATAGTGATTATGAAGTACTTGAAAGAAGTGGCATAAAGGTGGCTTCACTGAGGTCTCAATCTCTAGATCTACTGACTCAGATCCGCGTCTGGCCAATTCATCAGCAGATTCATTGCCAAAAATATTGCAGTGTCCAGGAACCCAACAGAGCTTAACAAACGACTTTACCTTTCCCAGGGCAATTTTGCACTCCAGAACAGCCTTGGATTTGATTATAAAAGAATTTAGAGCTTTTAGGGCCGCTTGACTATCGACATATATAGTCACCGGTCCGTTCCGCTCATCGATTCTGTCTTCCAACAGCTCTATGGCCATTCTGACAGCAAAAATCTCTGCCTGAAAAACACTACAATCGCTGTTTAGTCTGAAGGATCGTTGGATACCTAAACTTTCACTGTAGACTCCAGCCCCCGTTCCACTTTCCATCTTTGAACCATCAGTATAGACAGCTATACCGTTAAAAGGTGGAGTGCCACGGGACCAGATATCCCTGTTTGGTATGCAGATATCGGGTAATTCAAAGCTGTGCCTAGGGAGTATATAGTCGCTAGCTATAGCCTGATTACTTACATTCTCCACATACTTAAGAATGACAGAGTGTCCGATGGATTGGCTCCGCCATTGACCCAGTTCGCTGAGTCTCAGGGCACACCTAGCAGCTAGTTCCTCTACAAATAAGCCTAACGGCTTTAAATTAAGTAGGGTATCTAGAGCGGATTGTGGCGTGCTCCTGACCGCACCTGTAATTAGTAGCGATGCAACTCTTTGAACTTTATCAATATTCTTGCAGAGGGTGATTTTCCTTAAGGAATGCCACCAAACAAGTCCCCCATATGTTAGGATTGGTCGGACGATTGATTCATATATCCATCGGATAATATGGGGTTTAAGCCCCCAACTCTTTCCTATGGAGTTTTTGCAGGAATAGAGTGCATTTAAGCCCTTCTTCGCTCGCTCTTCGATATTCCTCTTCCAGTTTAGTTTCTGGTCTAGGATAGTACCGAGATATTTTGATTCCGAAGAAAGGCTTAGAATTACACCGTCCAGCTTTGGTAAAGAGAAGACAGGTAATTTCCGTCTCCTTGCAAAGAGTACGAGCTCAGTTTTGGATGGGTTCACGCCCAAACCATTGCAGCGCGCCCATCTGGATAGTTTAACTAGAGCTCCCTGCATGAGATCCGAAACAGTTTGCAGAAACTTCCCAGCAATAAGCAGGACCACGTCGTCGGCGTAAGCCACGTCCTTTGTTCCGCTGTGTTCCAGATCGATTAAAATGCTGTTTATCACCAGAAGCCAAAGCAGTGGTGACAGAACGCCTCCTTGTGGAGTACCCCTAGTGACCGTTTTCCTAACAGAGCACTCCCCGATGCTTGAGTTGATGATTCTGCTGCTAAGCATAACATCAATCCAATCAATGAGAAGTGGTGGCACACTAAGCCTTTCGAGAGAACTATGAATTGCATCAATTGTAACATTGTTGAAAGCCCCCTCGATATCGAGGAATGCCGCCAACGTATAACATGAGCTGTTCAGGTTCTTCTCTATATAACCCACAACGTCGTGTTGCGCTGATTCAACGGATTTGCCTTTCATATAGGCATGCTGAGCAGTGCTTAGCGATGTCAAAGGTATTAGAGTTCTGATCTCAATGTCTATTAGTCTCTCTAACGCTTTCAATAGAAAGGACGAGAGACTGATAGGTCTGTAGTCTTTTGGAAGTACATGACTTGGCTTCCCAGCTTTGGGAATGTAAGTGACTGTTACTTCCCTCCACAATAATGGAATGTGAGAAAGACGCAAACAAGCCTTAAAGATCACTTCCAGGAATGGTATTACCACCGTCGATGCATGCTGTAGCATAGCGGGGAAAATGCCATCTGGACCCGGTGACTTGAAAGGTTTGAATGAGTTTATGGCCCACAAGATCTTGGGGGCGTTTACAATTCTATCAACCAGACTTACGACTTCCGTTCCACGATGCTGACTAGGCCGATCTCCCGATCGGTCATTTACCGCATCAGAGCAGTTCGGGAAGTGAGTATTGGCTAGTAGATTGAGAGTTTCTAGACCTGAGTCAGTCCAGCTCCCATCAGCCCGCTTTATGCTTCCAATGGACTTTGGATCTTTTGAAAGTACTCTACGGAATCTGGAGGCCGCGTTGACATCATCTATGGACTCGGTAAAAACACACCCAAGACCGTCTTTTTGCCTTCTTGATCTCACTGTTGTACTTGTTGAAGGCTGATTTATAAGCTTCCCAGTCCGTACTAAGTTTGGTCTTGTTGGCCCTGTTGTAGAAACGTCTGCTTGTCTTCCTGAGCTGGGCTAGGTCTTTTGACCACCATACAGGCTGGTGCCTTTTTCCC